TTTTTATTGATATGATGTTTGAATTAGCCTGCAATTATCGTTAATTGTTTCTGATTCACAAACATCCTAGTTAGCGGCATCATTGTCATCAACAGGAATCAATTGAATACTATCAAATGATTGGAATTTTAGATTACAGATATAGGTTAAAATATGCAAATCTCTACCTCATCAATTTAAAGAGAATTTTGATTCAAAATTAAATAATTATTAGAACTAAAATAGAAGTTAGTCGTATAACTAATGAGGCTTAGAAAACAATCAAAATTTAGATATTTCGATTTGTTACCAGATTTACAGTATTGCAGTTAGACTATACCCTGTATTTTTCATTTGTATGTTACAATTTTATTTTTTATTATCCTCATATCTTACCTTTTGTTTTAGCATCAACTTCTGATCATCCTTCAATTATTTATAGATATAATATCATCCAAAATACATTCATAAACAATATGGCATCCCTTCTTAACTTCTTTGTTTTACTACAGATTACTAGAAATATTTCCATATGTTGATGGAGTAGGTATAAAATTTCTTATTTTATTATTTCATTCATTATTTATAATTACTTTGGATTCTTCGGATGTGCCTACTTATTAGGAGCTGTAATCAACAATGTAGTTTACTAAGAGACCATAATTATGTGGAGCATTATGGTTTGAGCCGAAAGGAAATATAACCCGGAAAATATGAGAAGTAGACATTCGACACAGTTGGAATGCTCCACACAGATTATTCAATTATCTCCTATTTATATTATAAAGACATTCAGACCATCACGAAAATCCTTACAAATCCTGTTCATATTAAAAAAGCCCCCAATTGCAACATGGATATACAGTGTGTATTCTATTAGCATGGGTACCAAAATAATGGTTTGAAATTATGGATATGTAACTAAAGAAACGGGAACATTCTTAACCAAGTCCATCAGAAAATGCTTAATATCATATTTTTAATCACAAGTCTCATCACATATCTATCCCATTTTCTAAAACTTTCACATTTCAATTAGTCTATATTAATGTTAAGTTTAAAAAAAAATCTAGATAACTTTCTTTCTGGTTCTTATAAATTAAAATTATATGTTGGTAATAAATTAATCAAAATGAGTGGAAGTGTTCATAACCATTCAAGTAACGTACTGATTTAGTTAATTATTTATTGTTGAATAAATAAGAGGATCAACTACTTTCAGCAGAAAATGATCTTAAAATAATAGCATGGAAGTAGATTTTATAAAGTATGATGTCATTTTCTTATTCCTTCGATAACAATAGCAATATTGCCAATTCATTCAGTTGTAATTAATCTGAAACTGTATTTTCATCATGTGGTTATCATGAATGTGTACATAATAAAAATAGAAATGTGATATTGGTAAGGCACAAATATCATATCTATTTGATTAGACAATAAAATGATGGCACATTTAATACTGTTGCAGCATTAAATAATTCTTAAATTACATACACTTATGATAACCATGACCAATAATGGCTAAAATTTAGTATTTGGGATTATAAATATCAAAAATATTCCTCTTATGAGATATTATATAAAGGAAGTATAGAATTATTTATAATTTACCCCAAAAATGCTGTAATTTCCAGTATTGCCTATTTAAAATTTTGCAAGTGTCTAATTCAGCTTTTTTTTTAAATGAAAGAAGAGAACACATTAATAATCTCCTTTATTTATTGCTTGGAGAATTTACTGTATGATTTATCTAGATAGATTATGAGTAAAATTGTCCTATTTCAATAATCGTATCCATGATCCGATCATAATAAAACTACTCATTCCATTCCTTAATAAATCCTATTGTAAATCTCCAGCTTCTTTTAGTATCCAATACTAAACCAGTTTACAATGAATACAGTTCCAAATTATCTGGTATAATTTCCTCATTCATCCTTTATATTTGCATTCATCCTCACTTATTAAATTGTTCCTCTTATGTAGAATAATTTTTATGTTAACTATTGAATCTTCAATGCGAGTCTTTTTCTGAGAATCGATATTTTTTATCACACAAAAAAATTATGCAAGCTATTTTGTATCATTGTGATTGCTTTCCTTATTCTACTATCATCTAAGATTTTGTATATATATATTATATAAAATCCTCTCCTTATTAGTTTCTTAGACTTTATTTTCATCAAGCAACTGTAAATATTTTTAAAAATTAATTCAACTGATTTATGAATTCATTTGATCATCTATCAATTCAATCCTTAATACTTTCCTCTTTCTTTTCCTTTTCATCATCACCATATTCAAATAGCATCTAAATTTTTAATTTCTATATATAAAATCTCAAAAATACACCTAATAAAACGATCAATTATAAAAAATCTTATTATAACGGTCATCTAAATTATATGTAATATCAACTATAGATTTAGATATCAAACAATTACAAAAGCCTAAGATTATACCAACATATTGCTATTATTTTTAATTCTATTTAAATTAGAATTCTCAAAACTCCTTACTTTCTTCTTAATAATATTCCAGAACTTCTATATGTTTTTCTAGTTATTAATTTAGATGGTCTTATAAGACTTTTTGTTATTTTATTCTAATTTAGCATACATGCGTTTATTCTAAAAGTTCCAGTAAGTATTGGAGAAATGCCAAAAAGATTGAAATATTGAGCAAATATCATTCAAAACTTTTGTTTATGCGATATGAAACTTCTTCAAAATCTATACAAGTACTGTTCTGTTTGAAAAATTAATCTTTATTTGCTCTCAAAATTAAATTTACTTACAACTCAGTAATTCTGTTGCAAGTTTATATTTCATTTTGAACTTGTGACAACTTTGAAAAATTTGCTTAAAGGATGATGATTTATATAAAAATGAACTTAGAAAACATAACGAAAAACAAAAGAATTTCAATAAAAACACTGTTAATGAGTTTTTTTGGTTGTTGCTACCATTAAAAATACTAACAACTTCTATTACCCACCTATTTCATAAATTATATATCTTTTGCAAATAGAATTAATAGAAAATTAAAATATACTAAAAGATGTTTAATTATGATTTTTCATCTTGTAGATTTTAGGTTATCCTAACCAAATTTATACCATACTAAAGTATATTTTAACTGAAATTAAGGTGTATGTAAAATTTTTTTAATATCTTGGTTATTTTTCAAATTCTTCAGAGTCATTTGTCGCACTGATTTTATCAACAATATCTGAATCTATTAATTTTCCAGTTTTGAAATTTTAAATTAGTAATTGACTATTAATCAATTTAGACTTCTTTTTGAGTTCCTCAAGGTAAAGCTTAATGTAGACTGATTTCGGGCTGTGAGAAATATATTTGATAATCATTTCAAAGAAATGGATAGAAGCATTTAACTCTTAAGATATGGGTAAAGGTAGGCTAGAGGGAAGAGGCAGTTGTTTTCTTTCATAACTAGAGGATAGAATGATTTAAATCATTAATAAAATTCAATTGATGTAATGCTACACCACCATGAAGGTTATTTAAGCAAGATAGCGTAGGAATTGAAATTTCTACAAGCTCTCTTTTGTTAACTATAAATCTGAACCCTTTGTTTTTGTTCTCCAATCTTACTATTTAACCATCATTTCTTTTCTTCATTTAAGGATCTTTGTAAGTCATTTAATTAGGAACCCTACATCAAATTGATGCCATATTATTTGCAAGAAAGGGCGTCAAAGTACAAATGACATCGTTAGAAACCAACAACTGGTAACAATCCAAGGAGATGAATGAACTTCTTTGAACAATGATTTCGGAATATTGTAAATTAAAAATACTTGCAAAATAATTTGTCCTATCCTATTATTAATTGAAGGTCAAACCAATGTATAAAGAGACATTATGGTGTTAAATTGTTTCAGAAACTACTAAAAATGAATCCGAATTATCTTTTAGTATCGTGATTATAATTTTTAAATATCTTATTTCAAATGGATTAGAAGATAGACTAAAATAATTGTTTATTATTGCTTAATTTAAATTTGTAGTATCAAAAAAAATAAATTAAAATAATGGTATTGATATATTCTAGTAATTTAAATAAAATTTAATTTAGTATAATCATTTGGTTGTCAACCAAGATATTGATCTTTGCACCTTGAGGAAATTTAAACCTGATTTAAGCAGAAGTTTGTTACGTTGCAATGAAATATTTCTGAATTTTGGAGGACCAAATTCAGATAATGTTAAAGAGTCATTCGGCCTCCTAGTTCTTAAATATAAAATTTATTCAGTGTTTTAAAGCTATCCAATGATGAAAACTTTGGAGCTCTAAATTTAAATGCATTTTATGAGATTATAACTGATCTAACTAATATTGATATTTGGTTGGCCAATTGACTCTATACCTGCTATTCTTTAAATATTCCAGTTATTTTATAAGTTTTCATTGTGTTCGTAATGAAATCTATCATTTAATTAAATTCCCTACAATTTTCATATACTGATCAAATATTAATAAGAAGAGATTAATTATTCTATCTGAATCTTTTAAATCCAATACAGGCAATTAATGTATTCATAAATTTTGAAGACATCCTTTTATTATTATGCAAATCTATTAATAAGGATTATAATGAGGATATTGGAAGTGTATTATGGGTGAGGTAGATACAATTATGTTGATTTGTATTTGAGCTGAACTTATAAATCTCTATGATTTCCTTATGCTAAGGCTCATAGAATCGCATTTAGAAACTGCTTTTAGCATAATAAGGTAGATCTGAAAAAAAACTTTGCACTAGCTACAGCTTTTTGAAAGATTTCTAAGAATAAATCAAATTAATAAGGAGGAAAAAATTTGTTAATTTAGATTTCAGTTTTGCATTTCAGGATCCAATTAATTCATTCAATATATTGAATAAAATATAATAAAACTAAAATATACTTTTGATCCTAAGATCGAGGCTCTAAAATTCTGTCCTTTACTCTCTATAAGAAATTTAAGTGGTAAAAGTGATAACAATATAGTTTACCTCTAAAGTACCCTTCTTGTCTTCTAAATGACCACTTGATAAGTGTCATTTTTAAAGATATAAATATCATGAGGTTATTATAGGTAAGGAGCAGTAGCATAATTTGAACAGATTACTATAGCAAAACTATAAATGATGGTCATTAGATAAAATCTAATATTTACCAAGATTGTGAAAGAGTTTGGGTATTGTTAAAGCTATCAAAATTAAGTGCGAAACTATATTGACCCTGTCATGATAGGTATAGTAGAAATTCATAATAGCCATTTGATGTTTCAATTTCTAGTTGCGATTAGCTAATACTCCAGCCTAACGGAGGAATTATCTATCTCTATTGATATAAAATATGGATATGTTGAGAGTTCC